CACAGCAGCCAGGAGCGGGACATGGTCGCGTCTGGGGCGGCGGCTGGATGAGCTGGGAGGGTCATCGGCCGGCTCCCCCCACACCCCCGCCCCCCCCCCGCCCCTCCGGGGAGGCTGGGACGGAGGCGGGCGCCGCCGCCCTTGTTTACCGCGCGGGGAGGGGGCAAAGTCCACGCCGCCCCCTTAGAAGAGCACAGAATGACCCAGTTGGAAGGGAGCTGGGAGGTCATCTAGTCCAACCCCTTGCTCGAGCATGCGTCCCTGACAGACTCATAGAATGACCGAGTTCGAAGGGGCCTCGGAGGTCATCTAGTCCAACCCCCCTGCTCGAGCAGGAGACCCTGACAGAATCGTAAGGGAACAGAGTGGGAAGGGACCCTGGAGGTCATCTAGTCCAACCCCCAGCTCAAGCATGATTCCCTGACAGAATCATAGAATGACCGAGTTCGAAGGGGCCTCGGAGGTCATCTAGACCAACCCCAAGCTCGAGCATCAGAACTTGACAGAATCACAGAATGACCCAGTTGAAAGGGAGCTGGGAGGTCATCTAGTCCGACCCGCTGCTCAAGCAGGAGACCCTGACAGAAGCATAGAATGACAAGAGTTGGAAGCGAACTCGGAGGTCATCTAGCCCAACCCCCTGCTCGAGCAGGAGAACATGACAGAATCACAGATTTGGGAGGGGCCTCCAAGGTCATCTAGTCCGACCCCCTGCTCGAGCAGGAGAACATGACAGAATCACATATTCGGGAGGGGCATCGGAGGTCATCTAGTCCAACCCCCTGCTCGAGCAGAATCACAGAATCACCGAATTGGAAGGGACCTCAGAGGTCATCTAGTCCAACCCGCTGCTTGAGAACTTGACAGAATCATAGAATCACAGAGTCAGAAGGGACCCTCGGTGGTCATGTAGTCCAGCCCACTGCTCGAGCAAGAAACCCTTACACCATCACGGAATAAGAATTGGAAGGGACCTCGGAGGTCATCTAGTCCAACCCCCTGCTCAAGCAGAGACCCTGACATAATCACAGAATGACAAGTGTTGGAAGTGACCTCAGAGGTCATCTAGTCCAGCCCTCTGCTGGAGGAGGAAACATGACAGAATCACAGAATGACACAGTTGGAAGCGATCTCAGAGGTCATCTAGTCCAGCCCACTGCTCAAGCAGGAGACACTTGCAGAATCACAGAATCAGAGTCAGAAGGGACCCTGGTGGTCATCTAGTCCAGCCCACTGCTCAAGCAGGAGACCCTTCCAGAATCACAGAATCAGAGTCAGAAGGGACCCTGGTGGTCATCTAGTCCAGCCCACTGCTCAAGCAGGAGACCCTTGCAGAATCACAGAATAACAGAGATGGAAGGAGTCTTGGCGGTCATCTAGTCCCGCCCCCCCCCCCCCCCCCCGCCGACTGGAGCAGGAGAATTTCATAGAATCACAGAATGAGAGAGTCGGAAGGTTCCTCAGAGGTCATCTACTCCAACCCGCTGCTCAAGCAGGAGAACTGTGCAAGGGGGAAAGAAGTAGATGGATCCGGGTTGCGGATCGGTGAACAGACCCATCCAGGCTCTGAGGACCAAAGGCTGTAAATGGCTTTAAGAAGGGACTTCAATTCCCAGAATCCCCCAGCTGGTCTGAATGGGCTTTGACAGGCAGAATCCCCCAGCCGGCAATGGGGACTTTGATTCCCATAATTCCCCAACTGGCGCCGGTAGATTTTTGACCCCCAGAATCCCCCGCTGGTGCACTTCTACTCAACTTGAATTCCCAGAATGCCCTAGCCAGCAAAGGGGGGGGAGCTTGACTTGACTTTGACTCCCACAATTCCCCAGCTGGCCTGGCTGGATTCCGACTTCCAGAATCCCCAGCTGGTGGACTTCACCTGGACTTGAGTTCGATTCCCTGTCCCCCAGCCGGCGGTGGCGGAGTTCGACTCCCAGAATCCCCCAACAGGTGTGGGTGGCCTTTAATTCCCAGAATCCCCAGCTCTTGGACTTCAACTGGACTTGAGTTCCATTCCCAGAATCCCCCAGCAGGTGTGGGTAGATTTTTGACTCCCAGAATCCCTCAGCCGGAGTGAGTGGACTTCAACTCCCAGAATCCCCAGCCAGCATGGGTGGAGTTCAGCTCCCAGAATCCCCAGCTGGGGGACTTTGGACTCGAGACTCCCAGAATCTCTAGCCAGCGTAGTTGGACTTCAAATCCCAGAATCCCCCAGTGGGCATGCATGGATTTCAGCTCCCAGAATTCCCCACACAGCTGGGGGATTCTGGGAGTCGATGACCGGCTCTGAAATTGAGAAATATCGCACTCAACATAACAGGGCTGAGCTCAGATCCTCGGAGCAGCCTTTGGATTACAGAGCCCATGCTTCCCCCGCTAGGATGGCCGCGGATCCGGCTGACTGGGCACCGTGGGGCCTGCGAGCCGAGAGGCGCCGATTGGCAAAGCCTCGCGTTGGGAAGCCGGCGGCCTTCATCGACGAACTACCATTCCCAGAGATCCGCGCGCGAGAAAGAACAACGACAATAACAACAACAAAACAGCCTCTCAGGGAGGGCAGAAAAGTAGTCCCATCTCGCGAGGTTTCCCTCAGCGATGGAGGGGAGGGATTGAGGCAAAGAATGCGAGACGAATACACAAAAGAACTCTCTTTCCCGTCACGCCGTGCGGGGGGAGGAGGAAGCCTCGAGGGGCCACAGGCGCCCGCCTTCGGAACTGCGTCGGCGAGCTCTGTGGGGTGGGGGTGGGGGGGTCGCGGAGCAGTGAGGCGTCACTTCCGCTTCCTCAATCCGGGTCTTCCGACGACCACAATAATAATAAAGAAAAAGGGCCCGAGAGAGAGAGAGAGAGAGAGAGAGAGAGAGAGAGAGAGAGCCTCGCCCCGTCCGGCCGGAGAGAGGCGCGCAGGCGCGCGTCCGGACGGGGAAATGGGGGAGGGAGGAAGGAGGAGAAAGAGGAGGCGCGTGACGTCAGCGCGTGAGGTCACCTCTGGCGCCCGATGACGCGCCGCTGACGCGCCGCGCCTCCGCCACGGGGCCCGGACCGTCGCCGTTGTTGCTATGGCGACCCCGCCCGCCGGGTCAAGGGGTCACGGCGCGGCCTGGTGAGCGAGGCCCGCGGGGGAGGGGGGGGGTCCCGCGGCGGGGGTGGCGGGAGGGGTTCACACGTGGCGGGCGGGCGGGCGGGAGGGAAGGCGAGGCCTCCTCCGGACGCCAGTTCGGCGGGTGAGGGGCGTCGGGCCTAGCAGGCGGGGGAGGGGGGAGGAGGGAGGGAGAAGGGGAGGGGGGGAGCCTTGGGGGAGCGGGACCCCCGCCTCAAACAGCCAAGAAGGGAGGGAGGGGGGGCTGAGGGGAGGGGGCGCAGCAGGGCGGGGAGGGGGGGTCACTCTCCCCCCCTTGGGTGGGTTTTGGAGGCGGGGGTCCTGCTTCCTATAGGAGGGAGGGAGGGGCAGCTTTTGGGGGGGATTTTGAGGCGGGGGTCCCCCTTTTCAAGGGAGGGAGGGGCAGTTTGGGGGGGGCTGAGGAGGGTCCTGATTCCCAAGGGAGGGAGGGAGGGGCAGCTCTGGGGGGGTTGAGGCAGGGGTCCTGCTTCCCATAGGAGGGAGGGGCAGCTTTTGGGGGGCTTTGAGGCGGGGGTCCCCCTTCTCAAGGGAGGGAGGGGCAGTTTGGGGGTGGCTGAGGAGGGTCCTGCTTCCCAGGGATGGGAGGGAGGGAGGGGCAGCTCTGGGGGGGGGGGCTGAGGAGAATCCTGCTTCCCATAGGAGGGAGGGGCAGTTTTTGGGGGGGGCTTTGAGGCGGGGGTCCCCCTTCACAAGGGAGGGAGGGGCAGTTTGGGGGGGCTGAGGAGGGTCCTGCTTCCCAGGGATGGGAGGGGCAGCTCTGGGGGGGGGCTGAGGAGGATCCTGCTTCCCATAGGAGAGAGGGGCAGCTTTTGGGGGGGCTTTGAGGCGGGGGTCCCCCTTCTCAAGGGAGGGAGGGGCAGTTTGGGGGGGCTGAGGAGGGTCCTGCTTCCCGAGGGAGGGAGGGGCAGCTCTGGGGGGGTTGAGGCGGGGGTCCTGATTCCCATAAGAGGGAGGGGCAGCTTTTGGGGGAGGCTTTGAGGTGGGGGTCCCGCTTCTCAAGGGAGGGAGGGGCAGTTTGGGGGGGGCTGAGGAGGGTCCTGCTTCCCAAGGAAGGGAGGGAGGGGCAGCTCTGGAGGGGGGGTTGAGGCGGGGGTCCTGCTTCCCATAGGAGGGAGGGAGGGAGGGAGGGGCAGCTTTTGGGGGGGCTTTGAGGCGGGGATCCCCCTTCTCAAGGGAAGGGCAGTTTGGGGGGGGCTGAGGAGGGTCTTGCTTCCCAAGGAAGGGAGGGAGGGGCAGCTCTGGGGGGGGTTGAGGCGGGGGTCCTGTTTCCCATAGGAGGGAGGGAGGGAGGGGCAGCTTTTGGGGGGGCTTTGATTCGGGGGTTCCCCTTCTCAAGGGAGGGAGGGGCAGTTTTGGGGGGGCTGAAGAGGGTCCTGCTTTCCAAGGGAAGGGAGGGAGGGAGAAGGGGAGGGGGAGCCTTGAGCGGGACCCCTGCCTCAAAAAGGCAGCCAAGGAAGGAGGGGGTGGCTGAGAGGGGAGGGGCTCAGCAGGGCGGGGAGGGGGGCTCACTCCCCCCCCTTGGGTGGGTTTTTGAGGTGGGGGTCCTGCTTCCCAAGGGAGGGAGGGAGGGGCAGCTTTTGGGGGGGCTTTGAGGCGGGGGGTCCCGTTTCTCAAGGAGGGAGGGAGGGGCAGCTTGTGGGGGGAATTCCAGCAGGACCCCTGCCTCTAACGCCCCCCAAACGCGGCCCCTCCCCCCTCCCTTGGGAAGCAGGACCCCCGCCTCAAAAACCCACCCAAGGGGGGGAGTGCCCCTCCACCCCGCCCTGCTGAGCCCCCTCCTCTCTCAGCCCCCCTCCCTCCTTGGCTGCCTTTTTGAGGGCGGGTCCTGCTTCCCAAGGGAGGGTGGGGCAGCTATTTGGGGGGGGTTGAGGCGGGGGTCCTGCTTCCCAAGGGAAGGGGGGAGGGGCAGCTTTGGGGGGGCTTGAGGCGGGGGTCCTGCTTCCCAAGGGAGGGTGGGGCAGCTATTTGGGGGGGTGGGATTCCAGCCCTGCAGTGAGGTCTCTCGGGCCTCCCCCCACTCAAACTCTCCTGGGTGTGTGGGGGGGTCCTCCTTGGAGGGGGTTAATCTGCTTTTGGGGGGGGGTTTCTGGCCTGGGTTGGTGGACAAGGAAGGGGGGGATCACCCTCAGGAAGTTTGGCAGGTGGGGAGAGAGGGGAGGGAGGGAGGGAGCAAAAGAAAAAGAATGAGAAAGAGGAGGGAGAGAGAGAGAAAGAAAAAATGAAAGAGAATGAGAAAGAGGGAGAAAAGAGGTAGCACGATGAAGAGAAAGAATGAAAGAGGGAGGGAGAGAGGGAGAAGAGGGAATAAAAGGGAGAGAATGAGAGAAGGCATGAGAAAGAGGGAAAAAGCATGAGAAAGAGAAGAGAGACAATGAACGAGAGAAAGGAGAGACAGTGTGAATGAGAGAGAAATGAGAAAGAAAAAGAATGAGAAAGAGGAGGGAGAGAGAGAGAAAGAAAAAATGAAAGAGAATGAGAAAGAGGGAGAAAAGAGGTAGCACGATGAAGAGAAAGAATGAAAGAGGGAGGGAGAGAGGGAGAAGAGGGAATAAAAGGGAGAGAATGAGAGAAGGCATGAGAAAGAGGGAAAAAGCATGAGAAAGAGAAGAGAGACAATGAACGAGAGAAAGGAGAGACAGTGTGAATGAGAGAGAAATGAGAGAGAGAAAGAATGAAAGGTAGAGAGAAGAAAGAATGAGGGAGAGGGAGAAAAGAGAGAATGCGAGAGAAAAAGAGAGACAATGAAAGAGAATGAGAGGGAGAGAATGAGAGAAAGCTTGAGAAAGAGGGGGAAAAGACCACGAGGAAGAGAAGAGAGACAATGAGAGAGAGAAACGAGAGAGAGAAAAAGAAAGAATGAAACCTAGAGAGAAGAAAGAAGGAGAGGGAGGAAAGAGAAGGCGAGAGAAAAAGAGAGAGCGTGCTAAAGAGAAAGAGACAATGAAAGTAGCCTGAGGGGGGAGAGAAAGAAGAGGGAATGAAAGGTAGAGAGTGAGAGCCTAAGAAAGAGAAGAGAGACAATGAAGGAGAGAAAAAGAGAGACAATGAAAGAGAATGAGAGGGAGAGAGAAGGAGAGAAAGCTTGAGAAAGAGGGGAAAAAAGACCATGAGGAAGAGAAGAGACAATGAGAGAGAAATGAGAAAGAATGAAAAAAGAGAGAAGAGAAGAAAGAAGGAGAGGGAGAAAAGAGAAGGCGAGAGAAAAAGAGAGAGCGTGCTAAAGAGAAAGAGACAATGAAAGTAGCCTGAGGGGGGAGAGAAAGAAGAGGGAATGAAAGGTAGAGAGTGAGAGCCTGAGAAAGAGAAGAGAGACAATGAAGGAGAGAAAAGGAGAGACAATGAAAGAGAATGAGAGGGAGAGAGAAGGAGAGAAAGCTTGAGAAAAAGGGGGAAAAAGACCATGAGGAAGAGAAGAGAGACAATGAGAGAGAGAAATGAGAAAGAATGAAAGAAGAGAAGAAGAAAGGAGAGGGAGAAAAGAGAAGGCGAGAGAAAAAGAGAGAGCGTGATAAAGAGAAAGAGACAATGAAAGTAGCCTGAGGGGAGAGTGAAAGAAGAGGGAATGAAAGGTAGAGAGTTAGAGCCTGAGAAAGAGAAGAGAGACAACGAAGGAGAGAAATGAGAGAGATAAGGAGAACGAAAGGTAGAGAGAAGAAAGAAGGAGAAAGACAACGAAAGAAAGAGATGAGAAATGAAAGGTAAAGAGAAAGGAGAAAAGACGATGAAAGAAAGAAGGAGAGAAAAAAGCACAAGAAAGACAAAGACAGTCAAAGAAAGAATGAGAAACAAAATGAAAGAAAAAATGAGAAAAAGCACGAGAAAGAGACACAATGAAAGAATGAGAAAGGGGAAGAGAAAAAAGTGAGAGAATGAAAGAAAAAGAAAGTGAAAGAGACAATGAAAAGTAGAGAAGGAGCAAGAAGGAAAAAGAATAAAAGCTAGAATGAGAGAAATGAGAAAATAAAAGAGAAAATGAGAGAAAAAGCATGAGAAAGACAAAGAGAATTGAGAAAGAGAAAAAGAACATGAGAAAGAATGAAAGAGAAAAGAGCATGAGAGCATGAAAGGATGAGAGGAGAGGGATAAAGAGAAAGAATGAAAGCTAGAAGGAGAGAAGGAGAAAGAGACAGTAAAAGATAGATAAAACGAGAGAGAAAAAGCACGAGAGACACAAAGAATGAGAAGGGGAGAGACAACAGAAGAGAGAATGAAAGACAGAAAAAGAGAGCACGAGAGAAAGTCGGGACGATGAAAGGTAGAATGAGACGGAAAAAAGAAAGAAGGAAAGCCAGAAGGAGAAAGAGACCACGAAAGAGAGAGAAAAAAGAGAAAGCATGAGAAAGAGACACAAGGAAGAGAGAGCAGGAGAAAGAGAAGAGAGAAGGAAAGATAGAGGAAACGAGAGAGCGTGAGAGAGAAAGCGAAAGAGACAAGGAAAGGTCGAAGGAGAAAGAGGGAAGGAGAGAAGAAAAAAGAGAAAGAACGAAATAGAATGAGAGAGAGGGTGATTGGCAGGACTTGGGGCAGACTTGGGGAGGGGGGGGGTTGAATTTGGGGAGGGGGGGACTGACTGCCATCCTGGGGGAGGAGCTTTCCCCCCTTTGGTGGAGATGGGGGGGTCCCTTCCTCACGGGGGGGGGGGGAGGGATTGAATTTTGATTGGATAATCAGGTTCAACCCAGGTCTAAACCCTCAGCTGCAGCCGAATCCCAGGCTAGCAGGGCTGGAAGGGACCTCGGAGGTCATCTAGTCCAACCCCCTGGCCGAGCAGGAGACCCTTGAGAGAATGACAGCGTCGGAAGGGGCCTCGGAGGTCATCTAGTCCAACCCCTTGCTCAAGGAGGAGACCCTTCCAGAATCACGGGATGACAAGAGCTTGCAAGGACCTCGGAGGTCATCTAGTCCAACCCCCTGGCCGAGCAGGAGACCCTTGAGAGAATGACAGCGTCGGAAGGGGCCTCGGAGGTCATCCAGTCCAACCCCTTGCTCAAGGAGGAGACCCTCCCAGAATCGCGGAATGACAAAGAGTCGGCAGGGGACCTCGGAGGTCATCTAGTCCAACCCCTTGCTCAAGGAGGAGACCCTTCCAGAATCACGGGATGGCAAGAGCTTGCAAGGACCTCGGAGGTCATCTAGTCCAACCCCCTGGCCGGGCAGAGACACCGTGACACAAATTGCAGAGGTGGAAGGGACCTCGGTGGTCATCTAGTCCAACCCCCTGCTCCATGACAAGACAGGGGAACTCGTCAAATTTGCAGATGACCCCAAGCGGGCAGGAGCAGCTGACCCCCCACCCCCCACCCCAGAAGACAAACTCGGGATCCCCAAAAGATCTTGAGAAACCCCGAACGATGGGCCCTCTCCGACAAAACGAGTTGTCCATGTGGAGAAGAGCAAAGTTTTACATTTAGGCAGGGAAAAATCAAAAGATATACAAGTTTTGAAGAAGAGACTGGACAGCCCGTTGTCTGAAATGGTCTGGGGTTTCCTGCCTGCGCAGGGGGTTGGACTAGATGACCTCCAAGGTCCCTTCTAACATCATCATCATCATCATTATTATTATGAAGAGACTGGACAGCCATTTGTTTGAAATGGTATAGGGTTTCCTGCCTGGGCAGGGGGTTGAACTAGATGACCTCTGAGGTCCCTTCCCACTTGATGATGATGATGATGATTATTTATTATTATGAAGAGACTGGACAGCCATTTGTCTGAAATGGTATAGACTAAGAGTTTCCTGCCTGAGCAGGGGGTTGGACTAGATGACCTCCAAGGTCCCTTCCGACTTTATTATTATTAGTATTATTAGTATTATTATTATTACAGATGTTATTACAGGTATCGTCGCAGGATGGAGGCAGTTCCTAGTAAGGCCGCCTTTTGCAATTGACTAATGGAGAATTTGTCAATGTTGTTGTTGTTGTTGTTATTGTTAAAGAGACTGGACAGCCATTTGTCTGAAATGGTACATAGGGTTTCCTGCCTGAGCAGGGGGTTGGACTAGATGACCTCCCAGGACCCTTCTAACTTAGTGATCCTGTAATTCTGTAAGGCAGCGGTTCTCCACCTGTGGGTCGGGACCCCATTTGGGGGTCGAACGACCATTTCACGGGGGTCGCCGAACAACGCCGTCCGCCATTTTTTCCCTCCTTTTCCTTAGCTGTGCTCCTCCCTTTTATTCTATTGGCTTTGGAAAGCCAATAGAAGAGACTCTCTTGAATAGAGTCTAATTCTATTGGCTTTCCAAAGCCAATAGGAGTTGTCCAGGCTGTCTCTGCCCTGCTGAGCCCGCCCAAAGTCCCAGTCTGCAAACGGTGCTGCGCCAGTTGAGTAGTCCTCGACTTACGACCGGTGGAGTAGTCCTCGACTTACGACTGGTGGGGGGGGGGTCGCGGCATTAAAACTGAACTGAGAGGATCCCAGGCCCGGAGACGAAAACAGAACGAAGAACGGCTGCAGGATTTGGGGGTCTGTCTGGCTGGTCTAAAGAAAAGAAGAAAGAGGGGAGACAGGATAGCAGATCTTCCAGTATTTGGGGGGGCTGCCCCGTCGTTCACCAAAGCACCAGAGGGCAGGGCGAGAAACGAGGGTTGGAAACGGAGCAAAGAGAGAAGCAACCCTGGAAGGAAGGAGAAACTTCCTGACGGGGAGGACGCTGAACCGGTGGAACTGCTTGCCACCGGAAGCTGGGGGTTGCTCCCTCGCTGGAGGATGTATCAGGAGAGACTGGACAGTCACTTGTCTTGAGAGGGTGTAGGGTCTCCTGCTTGAGCCGGGGGGCTGGACTAGAGGACCTCTGAGAGTCCCTTCCGACTCTGTGATTCTATGATTCTGTCAGGGTCTCCTGCTTGAGCCGGGGGCTGGACTAGATGACCTCTG